AAATGTAACATCTTGGTTCGTGACTACCACTACATCCGTACACACATTTTTTATTACCAATTGCACAAAATTTTGGGTGTCTACAACGGTTCATGAGTATCCTCAATCTAGTCGAAAATGTTTGCCCGATGGTATTAATACTTCCAAATTTAAACATTCCTAAAAATTGGAGTACAATCAATAAAATTTTATTGAGTCCCAAAAATTGCTTGTTTTTAAAAGTTCTGTTACTCCAACCCAAAATATGGTGCTAGAGTACTCAAAATTTCCTACTATGATCACATACAATCATTGAAACTCGCGGTAAAACCCTAAGAAGCACGGATAACAACGAAATATTTAATAATTCAGTTCCTACCTCAAAGAACACAAACAACGTCGCCATCACAAACATGAATGATCGCTGTTTATTCTGAGAAACATATGAAACCCACAAATACACCCTGCGGACAAAACAGTTACTGAATATTAAAGCAGGTGGTGTTTTAGGAGGTTTAGGAGATTAAAGCATGGCGTCTGGATCATTCCTAATGACATTCGGTCCGCCGTGTCCACCTTTCGGTCTGTCTGTCCTGCTATAATAACATCACAGCAGATAGAAGGCTTTTGCTAATTTGGTACTGGGAAACCTTACAATTATCGACAAAATTTAGTTTTCTTACAGAATGGACAGAACTGGTATGATTTAATGTACCTTCAATAACGTAAGTCCTTGATTAAATCCAATCAGCGAGTCCTGTCACGTATTGGAAACTACGGAATACGATCGAGTCACTGATCAATCTTATTTTCTTGGTAAGATTTCAGGTTCTCACGGCATGCTGGGATGCTGCACTGAGTAGGGAGATGATTGAGCCAGTAAGCACTTCTGAAACGTCGGTTAGTTTCTACCATACTACACTGACAGTCTTCTTCAAGTGTATCATGTTTAGCTAAAAGCAGGTGATTAAAGTGTTGACTTCTGAAAGTAAGTGCTATCTAACGACGCTGTTAGCTGCATGTGTTGTATAGCACTGAATGGCATGCTGATAATGAATATTGAACTAGGAAGAATGTTGAAGGAAGCGGCTGTATCTTATTTTACGATACATCTCTGATTATTCGCAGAAGGGCTGAGGAAATCCGCTGAAGTACGGTCAGGCCATGATCTGAATCCGGGATAGCCCGCATGTAAAGAAAGTGTTCTAACCACTGTACGTCAACGGTGCGTTTATTTAAAGGGGCGCAGGTCCGTCTATAAAGTTTTATTCAATTCGATCAATTCTGCCAGCTTAAGAATGATGTTAGGATCGCTTTACTGTTCTTCGCAGAATATGTCCAACGCATTGCCTGGTTTCATGTCTTACGCACTGCCTTTTCCGCAATATCTGGTCTCCCATCAACTTCACCTTAGGGTCTGAAGACCAAAATAGGAAGAGAAGGACAGTATTTCATATTTAAAGAACGTCTACGAAAGTGAGAACGGTATACGTAAACGCATTTTTACTTTCTGCTGGATTACCTGCTGGTAACTTCGAACTTTGCTTCCAAGCGCTCTCTTCTTCTTGAAGATGTCCCGACACGAATGATGATGGTGGGGTTGCTGGAGTTGAGGATTTAGGAGGGTGGTTTTACAAGGAAAGGGTCCAGAAATTGGGGAGTTGGGTTGAGGGGGTGGCTGCGTGAGAAGATGGTATATATATGAGAGCAAGTCGAATGGGAGGTAGTGCAAGGGAAGAGATAATTCCAGGGAATGATTGAAGAGGGTCTGTGGAGGATATAGAAAGCGGGCGTAAGACTGGGGTTGGGGTTTCTCCTTCCAAAGGAGGTGGAGTCGCAGTGCAAGGAAGGCTAGACCGGGGGGGGGGGGGGTGACTGGGTGGTGGATGTGAGAGAGGGTGAACTTACTGCATGCAGCAGGGTTTACGAAGGAAGAACAAATGAGGGGGAGATTCCGAGGAGTAAGCAAGGAAGAAAGAGTCCAGGACAGCGTAGTGGAAGTGGTAGACTGCAGCTGTAGTGTAGTCGAAGATTTAAAAAAATTCATACTGGAGGATAACATCCAACATTGTAACCAACGCGAGGGTAAGTGGAAATCCTCTTGAAGGACAAACGACTGAATAGTAGCGAGGCTGCTGTGCTTAACACTACAGTGTTATGTGTATGTTGTATGCATGGTATCTTGCAGATCGCGAGTGATATCACGTAATTCCTAGATTGACTGTGATGAATTTACATTGGATCAACTTGTGGTACTTGTCATTGGGGTCAATTCCTTATGGTTTTCGACCAGATCTTGGTGGACAAAGGTCCTAGTCACGTCCAAGAATCGACTCCAACTGCAGCACATACCCAAAGCACCCGGTTTCCGTCATTGGGTTGTCAGTTATTTGGAAAAGTAAGTTTTAAGGTGTCCATCCTAGAATTCGCGCAGACCAAAATGAGTGTAGTCTTAGGCCGAACGAACGCTAAGATCATGGGCTCGAATCCTGCTCAGAACTATCGTTTACGCACATTTCACATCATCGTAAATCATAATTCCTCCCATTTCAGGGTCTTGGAAAATGATTCATAGGAGTAGAATGCCCGCATATCTGAATACCTGCTTGATTTGACATTCTGTTAAGACATTCACCGTACTGTGCACAATGGCCGTCAAGCTCGTTTTGGTACTGTACCTGAAAGAAGGTTAACGGACCCCTGTCCACACTATGAAAACGTACAGAGGAAGAGTAAAT